TATGGTCAGCCTTAAAGTGGACAACCTCTCCTTTAGGATGACCCCCGACGAGATAAAACCAATATTTGAGAAGTACGGAGAAGTTGGGGACATTTACATACCAAGGGACCCGTACACTAAGGAATCGAGGGGTTTTGCTTTCGTGAGGTTTTACGAGAAACGAGACGCAGAGGACGCTATGGAGAGACTGGACGGGTACGTCATTGATGGACGGGAAATGAGAGTGCAGTTGGCACGCTATGGACGACCAAATGAAAACAAGGGACGCCACTATGGAGGAGGAGGAGGGAGAAAGAACAGGTATGTGATATTAGTATTATGGTTGATAGTAATTTGCAACTTGGTATTATTATTAAACATAACATATTTGAATACCATATACATGTATATGTACATGTATATGTTGTTTTACAATTTTTTGCTTAGTCCCAAAATTCTGCATTTTCATTGTCATGTTTTTTTCAAGCTATTCACTGAAAGTTTTTTTTAATGAAATAACCCATTGTGCAGTTTTTATTTAATTCTCATTCCTTAGGTATCGCAGTCGTTCTAGAAGTTACTCTCGTAGCCGTAGTCCTTCTCCTCGGAGGCGTAGGAGGACACCCTCTCGCTCACGGTCTCGTTCCCGTTCTCCCAAGCACGACCGATCTCGTTCCGGTTCTCGTACTCCCCCGAGAGAGTACTCAAAGTCGCCACGTCAGCGTTCTGCAAGTCCTCAAAGAGATTACGAAGGGGAGCAGTCCTGACGACATTAAAGAAAGGAGAAATGGAGTCTCTTTACTCTCTTCCTTTACTACTTAATTCTTTGAGTAAGTAAGTTATTGTGCTTGACAATAAACATTTAAAACACACACACTAATAACAACACAATTAATTTCCTTAAGTATTTGCTCATGCATGCATGCATACAGCAACATTATTTTACTTTTCAATAAGATTCATTTAACAATTTTATAATATTAATTACACGTTCTCTTGTTTTTGTATTTATTATTATAGTAGATGTCGCTGCATGATAGTAGGTGTGGCTGCTGATCTAGCAGTGCAGTGGGTGTGGCTACAGATCTTTTGTGCCATAGCAGTGCAGTTGTACATGTGTGATATACCAGATGATGCCAGTATATCAGTGTGTGGCTGTTAGCCTGTAACCTGTTGCCCTAAGGAGGTGTTTCCCTTTGCAGTGTTTAGTTTTTAGCAGCAGTATTACCTATACCTGGGAACCAGCAGAAGCTGTTGTTGTTTCGTAACCCGCTGCTCTAAGGAGGTGTTTTCCCTTGCTGTTTTAGTTTTTAGCAGCAGTGTTACTGTACTTGGGAACCAGCAGAAGCTGTTGTTGTTTCCATGCAGTTTTTAGTACCAGCAGAAGCCCCTGCAGTATTTAGTACCAGTGTTTGAGATAATAGTGACTACTGTTGAACAGTAAAAGTTACTGGTTTAAAAGATGATGAATGCTATGTTTCCATCTACACATAGCAATCCTTAATAAACTCTATAAGTACATTTATACATCAAAATTGAGAGATTGAGACAAGAGTGTTTGAATAAATGAATGCATTACATACAGTGTATGTACATGTATTATTGTCTTAGAGTATAAAATGGTGTTAGTCTATCGGTGAACATGCTCTGTGATCCTGTAATGCTGTCATCACTGGCTGGTGTCCTGCAATGAGTATAATTATACATCAAAATACAGCATTACAGCCTATGTATGTTTAGAGTCCTACTTTGTTTCATACACTTTGATCTGACGTATGTGTGTATCTCTTCCATTGAGGTGATTGGCCAGTATTGATACTTGATACACAAATCCTTTTACTGGCCTTCATAGTGTAAGATAAAAGGGAAAGAACATAATAGCAAAACAGTAATTGAGCTGCATTTAACATTTGGGTAATATATAGTTTGTATGATGACATTCGACTTGCCTGTCTTTTGAATCTTTTAGTTTTATTGTTACCCAACCCATGGGCTCTTCAAGCTCTAGGCTAGTTACTGTCTGCAGTATAAGCAAAAATATTAAATACTCTTAGTTGAATATGTTTGATAGTAGTATAGTGGTTATTCTGATCAATTTTCAGTTTTAACTTCAGCAAAAAAATCGATAGATTGTACATGTAAGTAGCTCTAACCGTGAGATCATGGAAGTGATTGCCAACTTTGATGACAATGTTGCTAGGAGTATAGCTCTCATCTTGAGAATAATCAGTATATATACATATTGACTTGAGGGAGATCAACACAATAAAGTCAATGAATGAATGAACTCACTTCTAGTGAGGTGTTGTGAAGAAACTCCATGTTAATGTAATGTGGTTGTGGACCGTCTGATCTACAAAGACATAGAAAAGTAGGTGTAATGATGTAAAGGGTTTGGTACTGTAGCAAGCTCTTTTAAAGTTACAAAAGTGATGGGGTAAATTATGTTGAATCTGGCATTATCTAACATCTTATTTTAAATGTCATTGGTGTTGACACAAAATGGCTTTTCAACATATTAATATTGCGATGACAATGGGCGGAGTTTCCTGCAGCAAACGTAAATGCATAAATAGTGCTTACAACATAAGATACTATAGGAGCTCCACCCATTATATACCATAATAATTTTAATAAAGCATGCTTGCAATTTTAATCTGATCTTGCTTCATTAACTCACTGCCAGTAAGTCTCGATTGATCTGTCTCTGAGATTAGCTACTCCATAGCCTGGCTTACATGTTGATATGGACCATACACAATTACCACCAACTTCAAGCAATCCTTTCTCACGAGCCTTTTCCTCCATCATATTAATTTTCACCTAGATAGTAGATAGAGTAAGATATTGGTTGCGAAATTTAGACTGATAAGCCTTTCAAATTTTTATTATTAATTTTTAAAACAAAAAATAATAAAGATGGTTAATAATAATGATAAAATAATTATAATTGTTTGAATGATTGATAGTATACATTATATTAAACATAACACTGTATTTTAATTACTATTATACAACTAATAATAATTAAATAATAATAATAATGATAATAACAACAAACTTAGTGGGCAAAACTCTCCATAACAAACTCCTTATCATGTATCCGTATAAACTTCCTAATATGAGACGGGAGCCCCGAATAATCGATACCAGTTTTAACGATGACTCTAGCGGCACAGCAAGTTAGAGGAGAAGGCCCGTGAGAATAGAGAAGGACTTTATGAATGTCCATGGTGGCAGCTTCATAGACTGTGACTCCATTTGAGTCAACAGCATCAAGATGAGGACCTGAATCAATGAGAGGAGAGAGTACTTCAATATCGCCCGATTCTACTGATAAATCGAGTGCAACGTGTAGCGGGCGCTTTCCTTCGCTGTTGGGCATATCGAGGACATCATCTGCCCCCCAGGCTAGTAGTGCTAGAATGAGTCCACGTAGATCAACGTATCGATCTAGTATCTTCCTATTTTCCTGGTCCGATATGTTAAAGTTTGTGAGTGAAAGGTGAAGGAGAGTCGTTCCAGGTGCATAGTGAAGATATTTCGAGACAAAGCCCCGACCTAAAGCATCGCATTCTTTTGGCCAGGAGTAGGCTCCTTTGTCATTCTCGTAAGACGAGAGAGTTATCCAAGAGAGGAATATCTCCATTATGAGTCCGAGGAGTGTCGTGCAGTCTATAACCTCACAGTCGGCCTTCTCTCCCAGCTGTTGTAGTATCTCAAGCTCTTTCAGTCCGTAGTTAATGTATTGAGTGAAGTTTGGCTCATATCCGGCCTGTAGCATGGTGCAAATACCTTCAGAGTAGACCGTAAGGTCTTTCTCGAGGTCTCTCATGATACCTTCACAGTGTCCATACTCGCCGTGGGATATCTCGTAGTTACAGACCTCGATCTCCATACTCATTGCCCTCTCCCACAGCTGCTCCGCTTCAATGTAGCGCCTGTCGTGACAGAAATACGAGCCACGCCGTATAAGGAAGTAAATGAGTCCCTGGTCAAGACGCCCCATGCACCTCTCGCGAATCATGAGGCTTTGATAAAACACGTCAAGACGACAGAAATCGGGATTGAACCAGTTTGACTGCAACTCTTCGAGAGTCTGTATCTCAACCCGATTGTTATACTCTGGCAGAGGAGGGAGGTACGAGGGAGAGAGGGAATAGTCTTCTCTTAGACGTAATCCTTCTTCCCAGTACATTTGTATTTTCGGTTCGGTAAATCTCAGCCTTTTTCTTAATTCACATTGCATTGAGGCCAGGAGCAAGTTGGCATCAGATTGACAAGAAAGAGGACAGTCCTTGTGCTTCATGAGGACCATCACAGCTTTAGTCTGTCCAGTTGATGCAGCCAGGAAGAGAGGACAAGGTACATAACCTTTCTCTAATGGCTTGGCTTCATGGAATCCTGGTGACACTCCCACCTCTAGTAAATAAGAGATGACTTCATCCTTACCCTTAGCAGCTGCTAGGTGCATTACGGAGTAGCCGTTAATAGTATGCTGGGAGGTATCGGCTCCATTTTGAACAAGAAACCTAACAGCCTCTACTTCTCCTCTCATGGCGGCAATACAGAGTGGGCTCTGTCCGATACAGTTAGGTGTATTAATATCGGCACCGACTTTAATGAGGTACCTCATAACGTCAATGAAACCGTGGAACGAGGCACCACGGAGTGGCGTCGACCGCGTAAGAGTCGTTTTATTGACATTGGCACCTTTGCTAACTAACAGCCTGACGATATCAATGTGTCCTCCTGTACAGGCGGCCCACAGGGCCGTGGCGTGATGTACCTGTTTCCTTGTTGTACGGGAGATTATAGTGGCCCCGTGATCTATGTCTATTATGTGCCCAAAGGAGTCTAGAAAGTAAGAGACGGTCTCTAGTCTCCCGTATTGTGCTGCTAGGACGAAAGGGGAGGGTTTGTGTTGCTTTGGATCAGGGCAGAAGGTAGCAGAACCGAAGGAAGTGGAGTCGTAAAGAGATATGAGGGAGACAAGTTTAGACATATCCCCATCTTGGGCATGAGTACACAAAGATTCATAGTTTTCTTTTGAAAACTGGAAGGAAAGAGACTTCTTTCTCTTCACGCCTTCTAACAAGGACGCCATTGTGAAGGGGCGGGGATTATTGGTTGGTAGGCGTGGTCAAGTGCATCACGTGATCCTTCTGCACACTTGTGCTTGAATTCCTCAATTCTCGTTCCTTTGCTCAGAAGGTCTCTTTCCATTATGGCAACATCACCATATCACATCTCTTCACTACTGGACAAGGTAAATTTATTGTAGAATAATATTAATGATGCATTATAATAATTATAATTTTTGGAACAGTAATTATAATTATGCTTGACCACGCCTTTTTCTCCTCCCACAGATGAGCTCAGTTGATAAGGACTTTCGTTTCATGGCGACGAATGATTTAATGACCGAGTTACAGCGTGACTCCATTAAACTTGACGATGACAGCGAGAGGAAGGTGGTGCAGGCTATACTCCGTCTTGTTGAAGATAAAAATGGAGAAGTACAGAACCTGGCCGTTAGATGGTAAGGAACGGAGGAAGGGAATTTGAATGTACATGTACATGCAGTCATTGCAGTGTAGCCTCTGTATAATGAGGTATGGAAATTTTGAGCTGATTCCGATCAAGTTTGGATTTTTAATGAATTTTTTAAAATTACTTAAAAATTGGGCCAAAGTCCCTGTACTATAGTACAGGGTCATCGGCCAAATTTTGCCAAAAATGACTAGGAGAGAATTCTCCATTTTTATACTTTATTCTGATGCATATACATGTTCTTATGTTGTGTAGCAAGTTTGAGCTGATTTCAATCAAGTTCAGATTTTTTATGAATTTTTAAAGTTACTCGAAAATTGGGCCAAAGTCCCTGTACTATAGTACAGGGTCTTAGGCCAAATTTTACCAAAAATGACAAGGAGAGAATTTTCCATTTTTATAATTTATTCTGATGCATATACATGTTTTTATGTTGTGTAACAAGTTTGAGCTGATTCCGATCAAGTTCAGATTTTTCATGAATTTTTAAAGTTACTAAAAATCTGGCCAAAGTCCCGCCTTCTACTTTGTTTTACCATACTCTCCTTTCTCTTCTCTTTTCCTCCTCAGTCTTGGCCCTTTAGTTTGTAAGATTAAGGACGGTCAAGTTGAAGTTATTGTCAACCAGTTGTGTGGTAACATGTTCTCCGATGACGAGAGACTGAGGGACATATCTAGCGTTGGTAAGAACCTCCTAAAACATTAATTAATGTCATTCATTAATTATTCATCATTATTAATATTTATTAATTTATTAATTGTTTATTTATTATTATAATGTATTACTGATTTATTATTATTATTATTATTATTATTATTATTATTATTATTATTATTATTTATTAGGTTTAAAGACGGTTATATCCCAGTTGCCATTTGTTTCCTCTAATGTCTCTAGTTCTGTATGTAAAAATATAACAAATAAATTAGTCAACTCCATTGACAAACCAGTAAGAATAGTCATTAGTACTACACGTACATGTACACTGTACATGAAATTTTTGTTAATTTGTCTTAATTTTTACTATTTTGTCGTGCATGCATGTACATGTGATATGTATTTATTATCAATTTTTCTTGTTGCTAACATCATGTGCATGTATATTGTATCATTAAAGCAATTTTATGAAATTTAACTTGTTGCTTCTATACCATCTCTCTCTCTCTCTCTCTCTCTCTCTCTCTCTCTCTCTCTCTCTCCAGTCATTGAATCAGTATGTACTATTAGAGGGTTTGGATATTTTGGGTGATCTGATACATCGCTATGGTGTACTCCTCACCTCTTACCACCAGCAGCTCCAGGAGTCACTGATGCCACTCCTAATGGACCCCAGACCTGTCTCCGTTAGGAAAAGAGCCTACATGGCATTATGTGAGTTGGGGGCGTGTATCGTTAGTGTAAGTGGGCGTGTATTCTGAGTCGCTGATACTTGATTATTAAATATTAAATTTGATTTATTTTTGTTATTTTTTGTTAGGTTTTTTGTCGTCGTGTTGTTCACAGGACCTCTACGATTCAATTATGACTCTGTTACTGAATAATCTAAAAACTGATGGATCCTCTTTAATCAACACTAGAACTTTCATTCAGTGTATCGGAGCCATTAGGTAGGTGTGGTTGTGGGTGTGGCTTATCTTGATTGGTATTTTTTTAGTCGTCAGTCTGGTCAGAGGGTTATACCATATTTGGATGTTATCGTTCCTGTTTTAATGAATTTTGTGAAATCGGAAGATGACGAACTTAAAGAATCCTGTCTACAGGTGGAGGAGAAATCTCTCTCTATTCTCTTTCATAAATACATCATCTCTTTTTTTAGACATTTGAAGTGCTAGTGTGTTTCAGAGAAATCTCACCAAATTTAAATGATGTAAGATACTTTTACTATTACATGTACATGTACATGTACATATATCTCTGCTTATATTATACATGTACATGTACACATTGACCCTTTCCTTAGGTAATTAAAGTTTGCCTCCAGCTGTTGGCTCATGATCCAAACTATAATTATGAGAGCGATGACGAGACTGAGGAAGAAGCAATGGAAACTGATGAATTTGATGAGTAAGAAAAAATTTAAATGCTATAGATGTACACGTTCGAAAAATTGCTGCTATTTATAACAATAAATAAATTATATTTGGTGAGTAAGAGAGAAAACAGAAAAATAAAAATGTTCTACATGCATATTTAAAAATATTTGCTAGCTGTTATGATTGCTATTGAACTAGGGATGATGATAGCTACAGCGATGATGATGACATTAGCTGGAAGGTTAGGAGGGCCTCTGCTAAGACTCTAGCTGCCATACACACGGCCAGACCTGATCTCATCGTTGAGTTCTATACCACAATATCCCCCGCTCTTATCGGAAGGTTCAAAGGTCAGTTTATATACACATGTACTGTAGCATGGGAATATATTGATTGATATTCAGGTATTGCTGAACATTTTAATTCTTGTGTATTTTTTATTTATTTGTTTTAGAACGTGAAGAGAATGTGAGGTGTGACATATTCCTAGCGTATCGAGCTTTATTGAATATCAATAAACCAATTAATAGCAATAATAGTAGTATTAGTAGCAGTGACGTGATGGAGACGTCAGAAACAAAGTTAGTTCTTTAATATACATGTACATGTACATGTACATATACATCGTCTACATTTACATTTAAATATCTCTCTTACATTTACATATTACATTTCTTTTCCCTGTAGCCCTCTGTCGTTATTACAGACTCAGGTTCCATTGATAGTTAAGTCACTTCACAAGCAGTTGAAGGATAAAAGCATCAAAGCAAGACAAGTAATCAATTAGTGCTAATAATTATGATCACTTTTGACATTGATCCTTTTCCCCACATTTTACTTCTTTTTGTTGGACTTTTATTGCTCCCATCTCTCTCTCTCTCTCTCTCTCTCTCTCCCTCCCTCCCTTCCTCCCTCCCTCCCTTCCTCCCTCCAGGGTTGTTTTGCTCTGCTAACTGATCTAGTTACTGTCCTTCCTGGTGCACTTGAGAAAGAAGTCGGCCATCTTGTCCCTGGTATTGTCTACTGTCTCAAGTTAGTTGATCATATGATAGTCATGTGATTTTTGGTTACTATAGTGATACTGGCTCGTCTTCAAACATGAGGATCGATACATTGATGTTCCTTAATGTGCTACTAACTAATCATTCTCCATCTTCTCTTTATCAATTTATCGATACCATTATACCAGTTAGTCATAAGACTCTTAATTTATTTATCAGTTATTCTACGAATTTTTATTATTTTATTATTTTAAAATAATATTGTGATAGGCTGTTATTCGTGCTGTTAATGACAGCTTTTATAAGATAACATCAGAAGCTTTACTGGTCCTGCAACTAATTGTAAAGATCATTCGTCCATTAGGTAAACGAGTGGGTGTGGTCGATTAATGAGTGGGCGTGGTTAATCTATTATAATATATATATAATTGGATGTATTCATTATTATTATTATTATTATTATTATTATTATTATTATTATTATTATTATTATTAGATGATGATTCTTCATTCAATTACGGTTCCTTTGCCGAAGATATTTACGAGTGTGCAATGAAGAGGCTTTCAGCTGCAGACATTGACCAAGAGGTCAAAGAAAGAGCCATCACTGCCATGGGCCAGATACTGGCTAACCTCGGAGACTGCTTGGAGTCAAAACTATCACAGTGTCTGCCAGTTTATGTGAATCGACTCAACAACGAAATAACAAGATTAACTACTGTCAGAGCTTTAACCGTAATATCAAGGTAGGAGCTAGACTATCTATAGTACTTGTGGATACAAGCAATTTCTCGTGTTTTTAGGTCGCCTTTAAAACTTGATATCACCATGATTCTGGTTAGTAATTGCATCTTTAGTACAGGTGCTATTTTTCCCTCCTCCTCTAGGCTGATACTGTCCCTTTGTTGGCAACTTTCCTTCGTAAGAATCACAGAGATCTGAAGCTAGCAACACTTGCCTGTCTCACACAATTAATGAACTCCTACGGTAAAGGACAATATTTAAAATCAAACATAAAATCACTAATCCTTTTTGATATTTCTTTTTTCTCATTATAGCTATATCAAGGGACCTAATTAAGCAGATATTAGAGGAGCTTCCCCCATTGATTAGTGATAATGATCTCCATATAGCACAACACGTCATATCATTGATATGCACAATAATGAACATCAGCCCTTCATCCATGGATGGAGTGAGTATTATAGTTATACAACTGGCGATTTTATTATTTTTTAGATAAAAGTCTCAATTCTTCCTAATATCATGACAATGCTGCTGTCTTCGTTGCTTCAAGGTTTAACTGTCTTTTCTACTTGTACTTATACTATTCCTTCCTCCTCTCTCTCTTTAGGTAATCCTTTGAACACTGTCGCTAATTTCTTCTCTCAGCTTGTCCTCCTTGATATCGCTGGTCTCCGATTTAAAGATATTTTTGAAGTGAATTTTTTATGATTATTACTAATTTTTATTATGATCAATTTTAGATGTTAGTATCACATGTACAAGGACTCCAGTCCGGAGCGACTGCTCCTCCAACTCTGCACAAACAGGTACAGCATCACATGACTATCACATGACTCTATGTACATGTACATGTAGGCGTATCAAAGTCTCTCGAGATGCATTGCAGTCATAAGTGTTGCTATTCCTGACAACATACAAAGCGTTGTCACTAAATTCATGACTGATGTTCAAGTAAACGCTATATCTGATCTCATGGCTAATTATTAGTTTCTTGTTACTTTTCATTTTCTATTTAGTCTCCCGAGGCTAGCGAACCTTCAAAATTATTAGCTTTATTTTCAATAGGGGAGATAGGGAAACAATGGTAGCTCGTACATCATCAATATGTGTACACCAGTTTACATTTCTCTTCTTCCTCTAGTGATCTCAGCTCCATTTCATCTCTTCATATTGTGGTCATTGATGTTTTTGGTTCGCCAAGCGAGGAGCTAAGATCAGCTGCCTCGTACTCGCTAGGTCGGTCGTTAGTCACATGACCTGTCACATGGTCCCTTCCTCTTTTAGGCTGCATCAGTTCCGGTAATCTTGGGGAGTACCTCCCATTTATATTGACGGAGATACAGTCGAGTCCCAAGAGACAGTATTTGTTGTTACATTCATTGAAAGAGATTATTAGCAATGCTGTCTATGACAAGCTTAAGCAGCATGTTGTACATATATGGTAAGTCTATTAGAGGATGAAGAATTTTCATGAAATACACCCTGGGACTACCTGATTTTTGAACAACTTTTAAAATTGTGTTGAAGCAGTATGATTATGATTTCAATGTTGTTTTTATTGTACTTTTAACATATTCAATGTTTTTATTGTAATTCTTTTTTCATTTCTCCTCTCCCCCCTCCCTCTTTTAGGGATGTTTTGTTCCATCATTTCCAAAGTACAGAGGAGGGTACTAGGAATGTTGTTGCCGAATGCGTCGGAAAACTGACACTAGTCGATCCACAGACTCTCCTGCCTAAACTAAAAGTAATACAGAACAGCAACTTTGTGGCAGTGCTTAGCAAAAACTTGATTAGTATAAAAGTTGATCACAATATCATTATATTATGTTTTAAAGAATAGATCAGTCTATTAAAGTTGTCAGAGCTTTCCTTAATTGATTGATGCTTAAGTACGTACGTCTTGTCTCCATTTTTTGTAGGAAAATTTAGCCTCCGAATCAGCTCATGTGAGAGGCACAGTCATAACAGCTTTCAAGTACACGATATCTGACCAGCCTCACCCAATCGACTCACAGCTGCAAGATTGCATCGAAGAGTTTATGAAATCAATCAGTGACAGTGATCTGGTGAGCTAAAATTTACTAATATTAATTTTTTTATTAAAAAATTTTTTAAATAGAATGTAAGACGTATGTCACTAGTTGCCTTTAATTCAGCTGCTCATAATAAGCCGTCGCTGATTGCTGATCTGTTAGACACTATACTACCTAACCTATACAATGAAACTAAAGTTAAAGTAAAGAGCCAGCTGCTACTCAAAATTGTCCATCACTTTATCTCCTCTGTCTCTCTCTCTCTTCCTCCTATTCCACTCACAGAAAGAGCTGATCAGACAAGTTGAAATGGGTCCATTCAAACACACTGTTGATGATGGTCTTGATCTTCGCAAGGCAGCATTTGAGTGTATGTACACGCTCCTGGAGACCTGTCTGACTCGTATTGACGTCTTTGAGTTTATTAATCACGTTGAGGATGGGCTGCGTGATCATTATGATATTAAGGTTAAACTGCGTGACCATTATTATTATTATTATTATTATTATTATTATTATTATTAGATGTTAACTTTTCTGTTGCTCGTTCGTCTCTCGTATTTAAGACCAACTACAGTTTTACAACGTGAGAATATATCGCTATTAATTTTGTCCCCTTGTGCTCTCTCTCTTTTCATTCTTATCTTACCCATTTTCTCATTATTATTGTTACATGCATTACTGTTTTATATCATAAGGTATTGAGAAGCTGTTGGAGCCGTTACGTGCTACAGTACAGTCTCGTGTTAAAGCCAACTCCGTCAAACAAGAGTTTGAGAAGCAAGAGGAGATGAAGAGATCGGCCATTAGATGTGTTATAGCACTCCTGGCTATACCAGACGCTGGTGAGAGAGAAAGAGAGAAGAGATTAATAATTATTTTATTTTTAATTATTTTTATTAGATAAGAATTCTCAGTTGATGGAGTTCGTCCAGCAAATAAAATCAAATGCTGACACTGCCGCTTTATACGAGTCTGTACGACAGGACTCCACCCTAGCGGCCACGCCTACTAGACATGAATCGATGGACCTTAGCTAATTAATAATTTTGACATTCTTTGACATTTTAGTGTGCATGTTACTAGTATTAATACTGTGTTGTGATTTTTGTGTTTCTCTTTAATAATGATTATTAATTATTACCAAGTTACTGTTGCTAAGATACTAGGCCCCGCCCATATGATGATTTAGAATTTTGTTGTAAATTGTGAAGGGCATCTTTCTCTTCTCTTATTATAACAATGTCTGGTTATCCCCAGCAGCAATATGGCGGTTATCAACAGCCTCCACCAGCCGGAGGGGCCTATCAACAGCCTCCTCCAGGCGGCTACCAGCAGTATGGCCACCAGCAACCTCCTGGCTATGGAGGATACCCTCAAGGAGGCCATCCTGGTCAGTTATATACATAGTGTATCTACGTTATATTAATAAGGGATTCTTCTTCTCTCATTTTGGGGTGTACTTATACAAAGTTTTGGTGAATGTTACCCTTTTGGCACTAGAAAACTTGAAACTGAATGATCCATGCTTAGTCTGACCACCTGTACAGTGAAAATTGTCAAAATTTAAACTTTTTCATTTTCGCGGGTTATATACTCCTCAATGCAAGTGTACATATACTGTAGACTACACTCATGAAATTTCGCTAAAGAAAAATACATAAAATTATTATGATTTTTAGGTTATGGTGCTCCTCCAGCTCCTAGCGGTCCACCAGGTTGTCCCCCTGGTGTTGACCCTACCCTCTACAGCTGGTTTGTTACCGTGGACGCTGATCACAGCGGGCAGATAACAGCAGCTGAGCTCCAGCAAGCTTTAACAAACAGCAACTGGTCACATTTCAATGCCGAGACTTGTAGACTGATGATTGGTAAGACTTGGCCATTTGAATTTTGTAGCTTCCTGTTTTATGGGTGGGCAGGCAAGGTGGTGTAATTATTTACTCTTCATTATCATCTTGTTTCAATTTCATGATTGATTATAATGAAAAACAGGTACCATGTACACCATACAGGCAGGAAACTGAGCCTTATGTATGTTCTATTTTTGATGTACATGTATAAATTGTTTTGGCAATTAATGACAATTGGAATGAAACACTCCATCTTGATCTCTCCCTCCTCTCTCTAGGTATATTTGATCATGATAACAGTGGCACTATTGGCCTCCACGAGTTTGCTCAGTTATGGGCATACATCAACCAATGGAAGGAAGTGTTTAACAGATATGACAAAGACAGATCTGGCAACATTGATGCTGGAGAATTATACACAGGTAAAGGAGAGGAAATAAAGAGAGATAATTTTAATAAGTAATTTTAAGGAAACTTCCTTAATATATTTTACGGAAACTTTACTAAAGCCTGGTTGGTTTCCATTACAATAGCCTTACAACACTGTTGCAACAATCCTGGAGATAGAAATCAGGTCTATCTCTACAACAGTTGTATGCTACTCACAGAATCCATACAACAGCCCCACTATATCAAAACCAGGCTTTATAAAATTCAAGGTAATTTCCCTATTTTTAAAGGGGAAATTTCCCTGCCTGATCTTGTTATTACTTCAAAAAGGTGTGAACAGGATTACAAAATTGCATAAAATTAATAATCACACAATCGCTATTATCTCTTTATTCTAGCTTACAATGAAATGGGCTTCCGTGTCTCTATGGCATTCTGCCAATTAATAGTGGTAAAATTTGACCGTGCCGAAAAGAAATCTCTCAAATTTGACGATTTCATCCAGTCCTGTGTGATGCTAAGATCGCTCACTGATGCGTTCAGAGTTCGTGATACCAACCTTGATGGAACCATTCAAGTGGCTTACGAAGACTTCATGACAATGGCAATCAGCAATAAACCTTGATTGGTTGATCCACCAAACACCCAATGGACTATATTTTAATATAGCATTTATAGTGATAATAACTATTATTATTATTATTATCAATTATCCCTTCTTTGTTAGTGTTTGAATTTCGAACTGTTTTTTTGCGAGTGGGTCAGTATTAATTTTGTTAATGAGTCACATGTATCAATGGTGAAATACCGTATATCTGGAAAAGTTTGCGGGAATTATATTTTGCGATTTTGTACCCATATAGCTAATTTTAATGTTTGTGGAATTTAATTTTGCTGGTGTAGGCGTGTACTGTTGATTACTTATAATGCTTTGCGGAATTAAATTGTGCGTTTTTATGATGAACAGCAAAATTAAATTCCAGCTATACAGTACCATAGATTTAGAGTGCCAAAAGTTGACTCTATGAAGAGGTTTGGTAATTAAAATGTTGGCCATGTCAATACTGCCACTGAAGCTCATCAAATTGGAGACCAAACTTTTGGCAAACAGAGCTCAATTTGCCAACTCTTTGATAAATGTCAAAGTAGTGCCTTCTCATACATTCTTAAGAGAGAGTGGTTCCACATTAAAATTGATTATTAGTACAGTTATATTTAGAAAATAAAACAATGAAAAGGAGTGAAAGAGAAACAGCTAATACTTATCAATTATTATTATTATTATTAATATTAATAAAACCTAACCCAGTTATCATTTACAACATCAAGTCTCCTCTTCCACTTACAGAGATCTAAACAACAACAAAATAATAATAACAACAACAACAATAATTAATTATAATAAATATACATACTTGCTCTTTGCTATTTTTCTTAACATTTGGTTGCCAGCAACAACAGTAACTCCGCCCACAGGAACTAAGAACTTGAGAGTTTGAAACATGTTCTATTGCAATATGGTATTGTAAGACCACGCCCACTCTAACATACCAATTGAGTCCAGAATAAATAATATAATACAAATATGCTAATGAGTCCAATATGAAAAATTAACCCCCAGGGGCCGGACACTGTAATATTAGACAAATTAACGCCTAAGATCAGCCACTAGAAAAAGGGGCGGGGTAAGAGCGAGTTACCATGACAACCACTCACCAGTAGCATAAGTACAGCAAGAGGGAGGAGAACTAGACCAGAGAAGGTGAGGGAGACAATGGAGGGAGGGAGCTTCTCTGGGTCCTGAAACTTGTGCTATATTTTTAGACAAAATATTGTACTATTATTATTATTATTATTATCATTATTACTATTATCATTGTTATATTATTATTACTATTATTATTATTATTATTATTATTATTATTATTATTATTATTATTATTACGTGTATTTCTGGTCTTGCTTTATAGCGATACTCATGCTCATCAGTTGTCGGTACTTTTGGAGTCCCAGAGAATTTTAAAGTTACTTTACCGATATCCCACGAGACAGGATTCTGTAGAGTAGCCCCACCAACTACTAGTGTCTGTAAATATAGAAAAGAAAGAATTACGTATTTTGTCAAAAATGACTAGGAGAGAATTCTTCATTTTTATAATCTCTTCCAATTACATATACATGTTCTTATGTTGTGTAGCAAGTTTGAGCTAATTCCGGCCAAAACAAGATTTTTTATAAATTTTTAAAGTTGCTCCAAAATTGAGAAAAAGTCCCTGTACTATAGTACAGGGATTTTGACCAAATTTCACCAAAAATGACTAGGAGAGAATTCTTCATTTTTATAATTCTATCTGATACATATACATGTTCTTATGCTGTGTAGCAAGTTTGAGCTGCTTCCGGCCAAAATTAGATTTTTTATGAATTTTTAAAGTTGCTCCAAAATCGAGAAAAAGTCCCTGTACTATAGTACAGGGATTTTGAACAAATTTCACCAAAAATGACTAGGAGAAAATTCTTCATTTTTATAATTCTATCTGATACATATACATGTTCTTATGCTGTGTAGCAAGTTTGAGCTGCTTCCGGCCAAAATTAGATTTTTTATGAATTTTTAAAGTTGCTCCAAAATCGAGAAAAAGTCCCTGTACTATAGTACAGGGATTTTGACCAAATTTCACCAAAAATGACTAGGAGAGAATTCTTCATTTTTATAATGTCATCTGATACATATACATGTTCTTATGTTGTGTAGCAAGTTTGAGATGATTCCGACCAAAATTGGATTTTTTTTCATTTTAAAAAGTTATTCCAAAAAGCTGTATGCCATAATAAAGGCTTAACTTTGAAGCTCTTTAGCTCAACTAAGACTATTACTCCACGCTTGTACTGTGAAGTACAGTATCTTACCATGCTATAAGTCCCAGATTGATGGTTAAACGAGTCTTTGGCCGTTTTAGCAACGTCAAGTTCAAAAACATAGCTACGAGAATCTGTGGGCGTGGCCACAAAAAATATCTCCTCCCCTTTATCAGAAACAAGACGAACAAAAACCTAAAAATTATTAACAGACATGATTATCAAATCTCTTACTCCTTGATAATCCCCTGACCTGATGTAGTGTTACTTTTGTCTTATCCGCTTTATTCACAAGATCAAAGGTCATCTTAAGCTTAGCCGAATGATCAGCAACTGGGACTTCACTAGCAAGAGATGGGTAATTGAGACTAGAGAAGAGAATAAAGAATCATGAGTTAGAGATATGGATACCTCTCTTCTTTAATGTACATGCATGTATTTATTTTATTCAATACATTATATACATGTATAGGCATACATGTATTTTTCTAATTTATAAAACAAATTGTATCATTATTCACTTTATACTCTTCAATACAATATTCTGTTCCTTTTCCACAACATCCAATACTGCCGACTCCACACTCACAGAGAAACTAACAGTGAAACCCACCTAAAGGGGCAGATCATGTGATTAAAAGTCATGTGACCAACAGTCACACAAATAATAATAATAATAATAATACATATACATTTTATTATACCTGAACATCAGTCAAGCTAGCTACCGGAGACTTTTCCTTCATTTCAGAGCTACATTGTATGATAGAAAATTGTCTTACAATTTAAAATGTAGAGTTACTTAAAAGTTAATACGTAATGTCCAGCCTGTGAAGCATAGTCTGACAAAGAAACGGTATATTCCAAACTAAATGAGAGAAGAGACACCAATTTGGTCCTAAGACATATATAAACACATCGATAAGTACCCATTAGCTTGAGGTGTTAGCTTCTTATCAAGGTTTGTCGTCTTTCCGGAAGAATCTTTGATTGACTTTAGTATCACTGTAGACTGGCCGCCTACTGCTCCTCCCATCATATTGGACAATGATAACTGGAAATAAAATGAATAAGTGTGGAAGAAAAGAAATAATTTATATAAAGTACTTACGCTCATGCTGCTCTCCTGAGGATTAATGTTATCATAATCAGATCTCAGTAAACTAGCTGGGACTACAAACTAAATAACAAAAAAACAACAATATTTACACGTATTTATTTATTTATTTATATTTATTTATTTATCCATCCATTACCTTGTTATTAGAGAGGACAGAGGCGGCTTGTAACAAATGAAAGGCGTCACACACACAGCTGGTATCTTTACTGGAGAGCAAGTAGTTACCGAACTGAGTTACCTGATCCTATTATAACACATCACATGACTATCACATGATATTCACATGACCTACTTACCAATGACAGAGCAGGTGCAGTACCTGTTTTGAGTGCCAAGTTAAATACTCCAGTTACTATGTCCGAAGTTATAGCTAGGCCTCCTTCAAACTGAATCGGGCATTAAATAGAGTAATAATTTCAAACTTACGTAGAGTGTGGAACCAGCTTCATCAGCTTGAGCCACGACATCCTATAATAAGTATTAATTAATTTTAATAACTATTAATCAACCTCAATGAGATCGGTGAGAGAGGAAAGGCCTTCAGTTTTAGGCGGGAACAATGATCCAATCATGAAAACATGTCCATACCTGCATACAAAAAAAGACATGTCACTTTCTTGATTATTACCTTTTTATTTTCAAGTCACTATGCAACATTTACCACTCTTTATCCTCCCTCCCTCCCCCCTTTCTCTCTCACCTGGCAAGTGCTTCTTCTTTATCAACAAGATCAGTCAAACTTGACACAGTCAATGACTTAGGGAGAGCTGAAAATACAATCATAAAATAAAACAATAATCATCACAATGACCCTTGTCCTGGCACTATAACAAAACATGGTGCAGTGCCAAGAGAACTCTATTCTGTATTGAATTGATTCCCCCCTCACTCTCTCTCTCCCTCTCTCTCCCTCCCTTTCTTTTACACATACATGATCCAATGTTGACAAGTGAGGTTGCTATCCAATACAGTTCACTCGAATTCCTCTCTCCACTGGATAACATACCAACAAGACTCTTCTCTGAAGACTTCATTGAAAACTACATGTATGAATAAAAAAAGTCAAAAGCTCAACAACAAAATAAATATAAAGGTAGCCATAAAATTATTTCCACTCACGTCACATCCTTTGATTGCTGCAAGTGCTGATGATGCATAGAAATAATCCAAAGGCGTCTCAATATTCGCCTTCTTGAGGTACGAGCAAACATTTGAGAATACCTAGTTACCATGGCAATAGTAATATTGTGCAATGACCGCACCCACTGACTTTATTATTATCGCCTCCTAATAATGCCACGCCCCTCGAAACGTAATAAGCACTTGCAAGATTATCGAGGGATTTGAACTCAAAAAGTCCTTTTAGTCTCTCCTGATCACGTGATCCTATCACATCTTGGAGGGAAGGGGTGGCTGTTGTTAGGGAACTCGAGAAAAGGAGGAGAAATCCAAATATAAAACCTGTTTGGGTATTTTTTAAATTATGTAATATTTTATGAGGTCCTTTTCACCTGCTCTACTTGTTAAAAAAGACTCCATTATCCCTCCCTATCAAAGAGACAATACACGAGGTTAGTATTGGTAATCACGTGATTAACCTCAAAAATCATGTGACTAAAGCTCCGCCTACAGATAATAACACAATCAATTTTACCCACACCCATACCACGCCCCTAAACTTCATTTTGCTTCAATGGCTACCATTTCTGCCAGTAAATATGCACTCAAAAGAGCCGAGAAGGAGCTCAATCAAACTAAAGTAGTCCTACGTCACTTGCCAGCCGATTACACTGAGCAGGACCTCCTTGAGCTGATCAACTCGGAGAGGCCCGGGTACACTTCGCCTCAATACACTTCCTTTTACTTCGTCCCAGGATCAGAATCCAATTCCTCCCTCCCCTCCTACTCTCGTGCTTATTTCGAGATACCAGTCTTTGACGATATCAAGAACCTAAGGGATACCTTTGACGGGCTTCAATTAGGGTCAAAAACCGACAGAGGTCCAAAAAGCCGATTAATAGTGGAATTTGCTCCGTATCAAGGAAGCCTACTGCAGCGCTGTAAGACGGACCCACGCTGTGATACTATAACAAAGGATTCAGAATATGTCTCGTTCCTCGAGGAATACGAAAAAGAGACAGCTCACTTGCCCAGTATTGATATATCGTATCTCGATACAGTAGAACATGTTGCTGAAGTGCAACCGACGCCTCTCGTTGATTTCATAAAGGAGAGGAAGATTGCCCGCAGATCTGGAGGGAGTAGGAATAAGGTTTTATATGCGACAGGTGGGGGCAAAAAGAAAAAGACAAGAGAGACGAGAGTGATAGAAATAAAAGAGAAGCCTTCTTCCTCGAGTAAGGACAAGCAATGGAAGGAGAAGGGGTCCGGGGTCGATAAAAAGAGTTCCAGTTACCAAGATAAGGGTTCCGGTCAAGAGAGGAAGGGGTCTGGGTATCAGGATAAGGGGTCCGGTCATGAAAAGAAAAGTAAAGACTTTGATAGGGGAAAGACTAATGGGGACCAAGCAAGTGGAGGAGAAGGGGGAGGCTCGAATAGAAAGAAAGGAGATGACTCGAAGAGCAAAGAGAGACCAGATCAAGCCTTGTATTCACCTCGAAGTAGAAGAAGTGGGAATGAAGACAAGAGATATGAAAGAAGCAGTAAAGGAGATGATAAAAGAGGAGGAAGCAGTAGAAATGAAGACAGCAGGAGAGGAGGATATTCTGATGATAGGAGGAGCATGAGAAGCGAGGAGAGAAAGGGAGGGAGAAGTGATGAAAGACGTGGCGGGGACGAAAGGAGAAGTGATAGACAGTATGATAAAACAAGCAGCAGATCAAGCTATGATAAGAGAAGTGGGAGTGGTTATTATAGAGAGGACTCATCAAGGTCTCACTATAAACATGGTGGGAAGACATCTTCTGGCTATCATGCGACGACTGATAATTATTATCATTTTCAAGATGATGATGAGCCTTCATATGAGGCCCATCGTGGGAGTGGGAAGAAGAGAGAAGAGTACTCGGAGAGGGACGATCGACGTTACTATGGAAACAGGAGGAACTATGATGATACCAAGAAATATAGACAGTAGCTTACGCATACAAAATAACATTTTAATTATGTACAAAAATAACACTCTAATTATTAACAGTAGTTATAATCACTACACAATTAATTACAGAACATTTGGTAGCTATTTAACTAACTATCAGTCAGTGTAATTCAATGATGAGTTAATTCCCATACACAGAGTCTATTTGAGTCAAAACAGTTGAACGACAGACTCACGAGGATCACTGGGTTTTCTCACTATAGTACAGGTTGGTACCTTCTCACTCATTTGCATATCAGCGGTTTTATGAGGTACAATATCTTCTACTTTTGTAGCACTTTTTTTCTGCTTCTTGCATATCTTTCCTAAAATAGATTTGAACCATTTTTGGTTGGAAATCTGCAGATAGAAATGATAGAATATTATAATAATGAAACTGATGGTAAATATACCAATACAAGCATTAAACCAGATCAATACTTCCTCATCAGTGTTGAGTGCTATCGAGAGTGCAACCATTATGCACAAGTTGAATAGAAACCAAACCTCGATTATATCATGCAGTCTCTTCCTGTAGAGACCACCTAAGGAAACTTGAATTGAGAACAACAAAGCCAATACTGTCAGTAGCATGCACAACAGGTAGTTCTGTGACCGAATGAAACTATCAACAAGAGTAACAGAGAGAAGGATTGGTATCCTAGCCACTAGCAGTAGACCAGGCCAGAACCGATACTCATCTTTCATTGGACCACTATAAGCATCAATAATAGGCTTAAAATGACCCCATACTTTCTTAAACATTTTATAATTTGAGAGATACTTCTCATAAAGAGGATCGAGCAAGAGAAACAAAGTGTAGGGCAGAATAAAAAAGAGAAACACTACAAGAGCAAATGCAAGTAGTCCAGCATGCTTCCCCTTAGCATATTCAACATTAGGATCCTCATACCATAAACTAACTGATCTTACTGACTCATTTGTACAGTGAAGAGTTACCCCACGCTGATGCAATACAATAACAATAGTACGTACTAATTTGGTGTATGAGAGAAGGAAGAGTGTAGATAGAACAGGAACAGCATGAGACCCCATCAGTCTTGATATCTTACCATATCTCCTACACAATTGTATAATGATAATAATGACAACCCACAGGTAAAGGGGGAAAGCAAACTGGAGCCATTGTTTAGCATAAGTGTCCATACCATTGTAAAAACATGCTTCAAAACCGAAGTCTAAGTTAATCCATGATATCACTTGCTTTAAGACTGGTAATGCTCCTTTCCTTGAAAAGACTGGCTCGTATAACTTGACAATGTTAGCATAGAACAATAGACCATTGAGTGTACCCACTGATACTGTTAAATTGAGAGCAATCAATAGAAACACTAACAATACACCCATCACTGCAAACAATGTTACCCATGTTATAACCATGTAAGTATGTTTATCATCACAATGTCCACAGTTGTTTGATCCCATTAGTAGACTGTATCCCTCTCTACATGATCCACACATTCTGTGTCCTCTATTATCCACACATTGAGTATCAGTGTCATTCAACTTGAAGGTAACAGGATTAGGAGAACAATAGAGGAGACAGTCCTCATTGATAATGCATGCATTAGGATTGGTTGCATTAGCATTGAAAGGTGTACTGGTATCATATGTTCCAATCCAGAGTAGACCATTGTGAGTGATAGATTGTGTATTTATATCACAAGTCACATTCTGCCTATGAACACTTTGACTGCAGTCACACTCACTCGAGCCATTAACAGAGAAACCAATAGGACACTCATTGATAAAGACACTGCAAGCTAGAGAATTATTATTGATAAAGACACTGGAGTAAAGAGAATCGCTATGAAATGACACCTGGAGCTCAGCTATAGGGAAGCTGTCAAAATGTTGATAGAGAGAAAACTTGACATTATGTTTAGTATAATCTGCAGTTTGTAGTTTAATCTCAACTGATGAACAATTTGCTAGGATGGGCTGTCTTTCCATCATTATTTTATCATCAAAGTATACATTAACATCGCCAGCAGTAACATCGTCTTCAGAGTACGATAAACCAATCATAATGATGTTAACTTTTAGCTCTTGACCAGGAAATGCATTTTTTTCTGGTATGTGCCTAAGGCAATTGGAATGAGCATAGGTCTTCCTGCTGGCATTTCTGGGATCACAAAAGCACATTTTACGTGGAACATTTGCTGCTCTTATATTATCACTGAAATAGCTTGTACAGTTATCCTTGTAAAAAATACCATAAATATCATGTCCCACTAAATCAGCGGAATTTCTTGATACATTTACATATACTGGTGGTAGATTGGAGTTGCTTTGAAATGGACAATAGAGGTAATTGTTAGTATATATTCCACCACCTTTTTCAGTAGCATGGTTACCCACAATATCCACTCGAGCTCCTGGAAGCAACTTTAAATAAGAATCGTCATACACTGCTAGCCCTCCTCCGTTTGTTCCAGAGTTATTAGATATGAATAAAGTATCAGCTACAGTCGCGAATCCTCTTTGTAGTGTCAATCCAGATGCTACAGTGTTACTAGTTATGCTGACATTACTTAGAAACACTTCACTGAATGCGATGAGGTTGTTCTCATTATTGAACATTTTCATATTCGTAACAGAAACATTGACAGACTCTAAAACAATTAAACCAAATCTATTGTTGTATGCTACAGATTCATCAATTGAAACTGTCACCATGTCAGATGTTAAATCATAAAATCCATATGTGTTATCATAAAACTGACAATTTCTTACTTTAAGGTAGATCTGTCTCTGGAAATATGGAATTAGATCTATATCACAACTAGACTGGATTGACTCAGATTCTTCTTCATTTGAGATACCCAATCCTATTTTTGAGCTATGGCTTGATGTGTTACTTACTCGAATTTCTTGAGATGACAACGGGGTAATAGAAAAAAATATTCCATTGGCAACAAAGCCACTGATGTCTACTTCAACATGATAGGAGGAACTCTGATCAAACAAGACTATGAGTGACGCTTGGTGCATTGACACATTTGTTATTTCCGGTGAGTAGTTATTTTGCTCATAGTCACATTCAGTGGGTGGAGAATATATAAAACCAAGGACATTGAAACTAGTACCACCAGTGATGACTGTTGACACAATTTTAAAATCGAATGCATTATCTGCAAGCAAATTTTCTAGTTTAATAAGTGTAGAGTTAGAAATAGCTACTTTTTTTGCAAACGCAATGTAAATGAAACCACGAGACATTGAAAAATGTGAAAAGCTGATATTGGAACAGATAAAAAACTCTAACCCACAATCATGAAAAGAGAGACTCATTATGTTAAAGTGATGCACATCAGTGAGTAAAAAAGTACTGTCATTTACACACTTAACAATCGAGGACTCACCCATACCTTGAAGTGTAAGATTGGAAGTAAACAAAATCACATGATAATCTATGACACTTGTTCCAACAAAGTAAAAGATACTGTCACCTAAATCCAAAATATTCGAAGTATATGTTGATAAAGGATGACAAGGTGACTGAGTAACTGAACTGCAGTCATCAGACACATAATACTGAGCAGAGGAGACACTGCAGGAGATACTGAAGAATAAGAGAACAACCACTAACAGGAGAGACATAGCTACTGTGACTTATGCAGAAGATGGCACACCTGCACTAGTATATATTGCATGGATTCCCACAGCTTTGTAAGATGTGGAGAGAAGCTTCCCACATAGAGGAATGTACCACTACACAATACTGTTATATGTGTTTTTACATCTACATGAGTGTAAATCTACATGTGTGTGGCCAAGCATATAATAAATATGTACATTGTGTTGTATTTTTGATCTCACCCTTATGGGAATGAAAATAAAGAGAAAGGATGCAGGTGCCATGAAGAGAGCTGTTGGCTGCTGATACCACCAAGTGTGCTTTAAAAACGGTGTATAGTCATTGTTCTTAAAACCTGTTGCCAATCTGATAACTTAAAAACTTTAATCGAATCAACTACATGCACCCTAAACTCCTTACAAAAACTGCTACATGAATTCTACATCAGCCACTACTCACGTACATAGATTCTACATTGTTTTGATTCAAACAAACTAATAGAGAATTTAATCATACACGAGATATAAAAAAACCAGACACTACGTTATGATTAAGTGTGATAAACAAAAGATCCGGATTCCGTCCCTTTCCTACTGTCAGAGTGAGCAGTGAGAACTCCCTCAGTTTCTTGAGCAACTGCCTGCACTATAGACTTTCCTAAAGACGAGATTGAAACGTGGCCCAGCGACCTCAGGTACTCAGTGATATTATGAGGATAACCATCTTTTAAAAATTAACAATCATCTTAGTGTACATGAACATAAATGGCATATACCTTCGTAAAAGAGCGTATTTGGTATCAACTGATGATGAAGCCGTTTCGACTCAACGGATTTTGACACAGACTTACGAAATGCACTAACTTCCAGGGCAACTAGCAACACAAATCATGTGACCCATAAGTCACGTGCCTTACCTTGAGCTGTTGATGTTACTATCAGTGTGCCTCCGGCTGCTCCTATGGCCAAGTATGCATAATAATCCCCAGCACTGTTTTTCTGGGAAGGGAGAAATGTGTCATAATAATTTAAATAAAATTAGCTATACCTTTAGCATTATTGTAGGGCAGGCTGAAGACTGTGGTCGTTTACCTGGACTGATGAAGTTGGCCTATAAATAAAGACACTAATAATAACAGATATCGGACCAGGTATGTGTCATTATTATTATTAGTTATAATAACCTCAGCTGGTGGTATTCCAAAATAATTTGTAATGTTTGGAGATGAAAAGTCGTCCATTTCATTATTGAGTACTATACCGTTAGGAGTAATCACTTTAGAGCCAAAGAAAGTGTTCACAGTACTACCAGTGGAAAAACCGACAACAACTCTAATTAAAGCCCGGCTAAACTTACGAAGTTACAGTGACAGCCATTCCATTAGAATCAATTACACTGACGTGAGTGGTGCCAGAATCATTAACAAACAGTGAAGCATTGTAGTGAGATGGAGGGAAAGTGCTGTTGTTACTGATGGAACGATTTATTTCAGCTGCAAACTTCTCACTAATATGAAAATTATTTTTTAAAACTTTGTTAATTAAAGAGTCTCTCTTCCTCTTCTCTTATCTCATTCCTCAAAGTCTGTACCTCAATACTTTTGCTTGTAACTCGTGAAGTTTTTCTGCTTCACAATCAGAGCAGTTAGGATCCCCAAACTTACTTCTAAACGCAAACGAGTACTTGAAAGACTAGAAATAACAAACGACAGTCTAAACAAGCGAAGAACTCAGGCCATACCTCAACGAGATGCTGGTAAGTAAGGTTTCTCCATTCGCTCTCTTGGCTCAATCCAATGTCTTCCATTACGTTGAGAATGAAGAGCATCTGTGGACCTCCTGAAGGCAGTGGAGTTGAGTAGACATCAAAATCATTGTATCTGATGAATACTGGCTCCTCCAGCAGAGCTTCATAAGATGCCATATCATCCGTTGTCATTATACCGCCAGTTCTTTGTACCTAATACACAAGAGTAGCCTCTCTCTTTACTCATTTAAAAAAAACTTACTGCATTGACTATTTCTGTTGCTATGTCACCTTTATAAAAACCACTCGGCCCCTCGCTGGCTATCTTTTGCAAAACATCCGCATAATATGGCCTCTTGACTGTTTCATTAATCCCTTTCATTGTTCCATTTTCATGATAATACCACTCATCAAACCTAGTTCTATTTATCACTTCATCCTGAACCCTTTTCACTGATTTAACTACATGATACATGAGAGAAGATCAATAAAGAAATAAATCAAACAATGTCACGTGACTAGGAGTCATGTGACTGGCTCACATGAGTGCTCGTTGAGCGGGTACCCATTCCTTGCAAGATCAATGACAGGATAAAATAAGTCAGACCAAGGTAACCTAATCAGTTTAATGAACACTGTCATCATTTGGTTACTAATAATGCTACCACATACTTTCCATACAAATCATGTGCTAGTTTCATTCCTGCAATTTCCCCAGGGACACCTACAGCAAGACCACCCTGGGGGGGAGGAGGGGAGGAAGAGTAACATGATGTGTCCTTTTATGGAAGTTAAGTAATGTACCAGTTCCGAGAGGTTTCCGTTGCCATGATACATGTCAACTGTTGAAGCTGCTGGAGCTTTTTCTCTGAAATTGATAGCTTTAACTGACTGAGAGCTGGGATCATATATTGTCATGAAACCACCTCTGTGGAGAGGAGACAGAAGAGAGAGAGAGAGAGGTGATATTACCATCCCTATTTATAGGTGCATTCATAGTATTATGCATCCGTTTCATGTACACATGCATTGGTACAGAAAGTGCTATAGAAACAATTAAAGAGTAGCCTAGATCAATGGATCAAAATGGGGTGGGCAAACATAAAATCCTAAACTCAACTCCCACCAATATTTCCGGCTGTACGGTATTAATTTACCCTCCTATTCCAGATGATTCGGGATGAACTACTCCAACACAAAGGAGGGCCACTATAGCGGCATCAACTGCTGATCCACCTGCTTTAAGAATCTCTCCTCCCATCTCCGAACACGTAGCACTATCAGCTGCAACAGCACCTGCAAATACCACCCACAATTAATTAATTATTAATTAAAGTGATTATTATTTTACCTGTGGAATAACTTGGAGCTATATATAAATTTAAAAGAGAAAAAAATTTTGTGTAAAGTGAATACCATAATATGAAGGAAAAACATTCTAGATTATATATATATACTGTGTAGCGTTCTCATTGAATCCCTGCCTTGGTTTCTTATGCTTAATTTGAGTACAGGTTTCAAATCTCTTATACTTTAATGGATGTACCGGCAAGACAGATTTTACATTCAAGAGAGGTGCATGTACATGTATATATAATTATATTACATGTATTTTACCAGGTGGTCTGTATGGTTCTGTTAAGAGGAGTGCAATGAAAAGAGATATGACAATAGCTATAGTGAAGACAGTAATGGCGATGAATGCCACGGCCCAAGAGCTCAATCGTCCACGGAGTTTCCCATTGCCGGGTTTTGGGGTACGACCTGGTAAAGTGAACTTTCTCTTGGTAGGAGGAGAGTGCTTCTCTTCCCCTAGCACAACCTGCTCCTTATCGGCGACTGAGACGCCTAATTCAGTGTCATCTTCATCCTCTTCTTGCTTTAGTTTCTTAAAAGATATCGCCATTTTTCTTCCACGTGAACCACACCCACTATATAACGCCCACGTAAAATAAGGCGTGATCTAAGGTGTGGTTTATCAGATAATAAAAGATGGAGGATCCAATTTGCTCAGTTTGTGAAGCAGATTCCAGCCCCATATGGAGAAGGGCCGAAGAGGGGAAGGTAATATGTCTGGAGTGCTATACGAACCATAAAAAGGTAGAAAAAGCAGTCGAAAGCTCCACAGACACTCCAACTCCTCCACCTTTCAGTTCAAGCCCAGCCCCAACTACCACTAGGAAGAGGAAAGGAGGGAAGAGAGGGCCTAAAGGAGGTGGTGCTACTAGTGAGAAGTCTTCCTCTAGTCAGCCACCTCAAGTAAGCAACCAGCAGCAAGGAAGGAGGACTCTGATAAAAGGAAGGGTAAGTTTATATGTTGCCGTATTACTTACGGTAGTATTTTTAGCATCTAAAAAGTTTAATGATAAAGCATTTTATTTTCTAATGTTTGATGTATCTCCATTAATGATTAAAATTAAATGTGTGTCTGTAATATCCTAACATTGTACTTCATTTTGTTTACCTAAATACATGTATTTTATATGCATGCATAATGTACAGCCGATGAAAGCTCCGACTCCTGAGCCACACCTCCAAACCAGCAACTCTGTCTTACATAAGGTAATTGTATATGTACTACAGAAAAACTCAAACCTTTTCTCAAACTGTATCCTCATTTCTCATTCTCAGGGTACTGTCTATGAAGTAGGTGACATAGTGTCACTATTGGATTATTCAGGCGGTATTTATTATTCTATTATTCGTGGGTTTCTCATTGATCAGTATGCGACTCATTACGCCGTTTTGAAGTGGGTTTTACCAAAAACTCCAAACCCGACCCACTTTGACCCAAGAAATTTTATATTAGGTACATAGAATTAATTTGTCTAAATCTGAAATATTTCTAACCAGCATGAATGCATCTATTAGAAAATGTAATAAAAGGTTGGGATTTTTTAGCTTTTTTCTTTTGAAAAAGCATGATTTTCTTAGGCCAAAATTTGCATATTATTTTCATTAAATATCAGTCAGCGATTTTTTTGTTAGAGTATTTTTAATGTGTACTTTTAGGTCCAGATGACGATGAGCCCAGGAACTTGGACATTCTTGATTTCATCTGTCACTCTCCGAACTCCAAAAGTTTCCGACAATCTTTTACTCTCAATTACGAAACAGCTGCAAAGTGGTTACCGTGAAGAAAAAAAATCAATTTTAACAAAGAGAGACAAAAATCACTTCAATTTTTTATATCTAATCAAAAAAGAAACAAAATTATTTCATCCGTTACTAAAGTGAATTAATGAAGTAGTTTATTATCATTAACTAGCGAAGCAGTAATTATAAATTAGTTATTAGTTTCTTATTGTTTGAGGAGTTTGGCGTGATGCTGAATCTGTCCTCCAATGAAAGTGGACACAAAGTAATAGCTGTGATCATAGCCCTCTTGCATTTGAAGGACAACAGGGACATTACTCACGCGACATGCATCAACGAAAGCCTCCGGAAGGAGCTGCTTCTCTTTCAGGAAATTATCGTCAGCCCCTTGATCTATGAGTATGTAGCCAAGGTTAGGACCTTTGTAGCTTTTGACAAGCTCTGTAGCATCCCATTCTTTCCACGTCTCCTCGTCGGGCCCAAGGTAACCCGTAAAAGCCTTCTTTCCCCAAGGGCAGTTAGACGGGTTACATATCGGAGCAAAGGCAGATACAGATATGTAAGACCCAGGGTTCTTTAGGTAGCAAATCAGAGCACCATGTCCACCCATGCTATGCCCAAATATGGACTTGCGAGACGGCTCAATGTTGAAGTTTGTTTCAATAGCGGCTGGGAGCTCTTTTGTTACATACGAATACATATTATAGTTCTCTTTCCATTTCTCTGTTGTAGCGTTAATATAGAAACCAGCTCCCGAGCCAAAGTCATAGGAATCGTCTTCTCCCTCGATATTGCAGCCTCTTGGGCTCGTGTCTGGCGCTACTATGGCTACTCCGGCCTCAGAAGCGTATCTCTGGAATCCTGATTTGGCAATGACATTTTGTTCTGTGCACGTGAGTCCAGAGAGATAGTAAATTACTGGGACTTTCTTGGTCTCTGATTCCTGAGGAAGGTAGATAGCAAACTTCATGTCGCATTTAAGGACGTCGCTGTGATGCTGAAACACTTTCTGCCATCCTCCAAAGGACTTTGCCTTGCTCACTTCTGTCACTTGAGATGCCGCCATATTATTTTTTCCTAATGACCCACACCCACATGGTGGTTTACTCCCACACATTGGCTGACTGACTCTATGCGCATGCTCATCAAATAGACCTCGTGCTATATTTTCCTCCATTTCTTTCTTCTTGAGTAGCTTGTAAGAAAGTCAAAGAATTTTCTGACAACAATTCCTTTTTATTTATAGATCTTTAAACCCACCGAGGCAATCCTTGATCCCACTATAGGAAAATGGGCAGGGAAGACAAAGCTACATGGAAAGCCAACTATGCTCTACGTCTAATGGCAAGTGGACCTTCATATATTAGTTTTATTAATTCTGATTATTTTAGGAGCTCTTTAGCGAGTACTCAAAGGTTTTCATTGTAGGTGCAGATAATGTCGGGTCTAAGCAGATGCAGCAGATTAGGATATCTTTGCGAGGGAAAGGAATATTGTTAATGGGGAAAAACACTACCATAAGGTCGGCCATTTTCTGGGTGTGGCTAAAATTAAGTAATTAATGTATCTAGGAAGATCATTCGTAGTGCACTTGATACAAACCCTCAGCTTGAGAAGCTCCTTCCTCACGTAAAGGGTAACATTGGGTTTGTATTCACCCATGAAGACTTGAAAGACGTTCGTGACCTTATCACGGACAACAAGGTATGTAACTCCACCCATTTCTCACTCGCTAGTGCAAATGATGAATCAATGGTTATATGTCACAGCTGATGTTGTTTATGTTGATATTATTCCATTGCTGCCTTCCTTCTGATGCACTTTAATAAATTGATTATTTTTGCTTATGACCTATGTATAATACTGGATCAATCAGCCTTTTATTTGGCTTTTTTTTTCAATATAATTGTGACAGGTTAGTGCTCCAGCCAAAGCAGGTGCTCTTGCTCCTATTGACGTTAAAATCCCTCCACAAAACACTGGGCTTGGTCCAGAGAAGACATCCTTCTTTCAAGCCCTGCGTATACAGACCAAGATTGCACGTGGTACCATTGAAATACTGGTGAGAGACACAAGGAAAGGTACCTCCTTAGTCTTTTTTTTGTTGGCTAGGGTGAGGTCCACATTATCAAGAAAGATGAGAAAGTGGGAGCTTCTGAGGCTACTCTGCTTCAGATGTTGAAGATTATGCCTTTCTCTTACGGTCTTGTTATATTTCAAGGTGAGTAAACCGTAATCATTTGATCATGTGATCGTTGTGTTAGTGTACGATTCCGGCTCTGTTTTTTCTCCCGATGTACTTGATATCAGTGATGACGACTTGTTGAAGAAATTTATGCTAGTACGTCTGAATACCTCTTTTTCTATAAATACCGTTTGGCCGATGATTAATAATAATTGCATGTATTACCTGACTAGTCATGTGTCTGTCACATGACCTGATGCTCATCCTTACCTACAATGAGGCTCTATCATTAATGTCACGTCCATATTTGGTGTGACACTATTAACGATGCATTGATTGATTACGTATATTTATCTTTTAGGGTGTGACCAATGTTGCTTCTGTGTCTCTTGCAATCGGCTATCCAACGACAGCCTCTGTTCCACACTCTATTGTTAACGGGTTCAAGGTTAGCCCCTGTATGGTCACATGACTTTCATGTGACGTGTATAATCCTGTTTAGAACCTCCTGGCCATTGCTGTTGCTACTGATATCAATTTCAAGGAGGCAGAGGAAGTGAGTAATATACAATATATTGTATTTCATTTAATTTAGTTTTTTAGTCAAAGAGTGCATTTTAATTTTTCTAATTTCTTAGTTGAAGACATTGTTATCTGATCCTGAAGCACTAGCTGCAGCAATGGCTGCCAGTGCAGCTGCTGCTCCTAAAGGAGGTGGAGAAGAGAAGGAAGAAGAAAAGAAAGAGGAAGCAAAGAAAGATGAAAGTGATGAAGACAGCGACGATGGAATGGGATTTGGTGAGTTGGTCTTCATTTTTTTCCTTTACTCCCCTCTTGCTGTCAATCTTTAGATCTGTTTGGAGATGACTAAAATGGAAACTGTCTTCAACTGTATTTTGTTCATTTATTATAATTATTATAAATCTTGGATTTGATATCTCAATAAAACAGTCACATGACATAATAATTATAGCAACAATAATCACATGATTATATTCTTTATTCTCTCTTGCTTGAAGCCACTGATAGTGCCTGTACTAGATGTTGTAATCTAAGTTGACTTACGACATCTAAAAAAAGGTGCAATTATCAATAATGGCATATTCTTACTCACCAGTCAGCTTTTTTATCAACACTTCGTACCCCTTACCACGCATTGTGGTCACAATTGTCACCATTGTGACGCGCTCTTCAATCTAAAAAGGAGAGAATCAAATAGAGTCGTCTCTTCTAATCTTTCCCCTAACTTGTGCTAGATGGTAGGTGCAGCTTAGTTTCGTGTCGAGCTGAGTTGATATGATACTGGTCGTGTTCGAAGCTGATTTCTGATTCATGATCATGCTAACAATGTTAGCTCTGTGAGATAAGAACTCGTAGTCCTGCGATAAAGGTGTATGTATGTCATCATGTTAAGGATTAAAAATCAAACCAAGATACTATGAATATAGATTTACACTTGATGCTTAAGCAATCATTGTTGCAAATTTTGTGAAATTTCTGTAATTCCACAAAATTGGCTAATTCTAAGTAGAAAACGTACAAGTTTTAGCAATAAGTAAATTTTGCAGGCATAATGGTTAAATACCTGAGGTATTGACATCATAATCGGATAAGAATTGAGGCCAGAGAGCGAGGGAGACTCGGCCGACGGAGTTTCATACTGGGGACCTTTATAACCAGCAAGTCCATTGCTATCAAATACCAAACAGACGCAGGAATTGGGCGGAGCCTGTTTCAAGAGGACAGAGAACCTAGTGCAAGAGTGTGAATGAAAGGTTTTTATTGGTATTTCTGTTTACAAGTTCAAGAAGTCGTCTTGGAATTTGTGAGATATGATTTTCGAGTCATTTAGAAAACCTCCGGAATGAAGATTCTTGTAAAAATAAGTGGTGAACTGAGAGAGAAAGAGAGAGAGAGAGAAATGACTACTAAGTCCTAAATAACAGCATTACTGGTATAGAGTAGTATTACAGTTTTTGATCAACTTATTATTAAAAACTATCAGTATTATTTATTATAATTACTATTAGAAAATTAAAAAAACACAGTAATTATTTCATTTATACTCTACCTTTGCCATGAGTACATTGTGAAAGGTGCAGAGCCACTTGTAGAGAGGCGGGTAAGAGCTCAAACAAGAAGAAGCATTAGAAGACGACCGCATAGAGCGAGGGGAAGTGGTCTAAAAGTATACATGTACTTGCATAATGTCACGAGAGCAATGTTGATGATCATACTTGCGTGTTAAGTCCTGGAGGATGGAGCCCATGCCATAGGCTAAGCTTTGTTTGAGCTGATTGTAGTGATATTAGTGATGGCAAGTACTGCCAATCTGATAAACTTATCTGTGCCTTTAATAATAATGAAAGTACCTCTACCTCTGACCTTGAGAGAGGGAGAGATGGATAATGAAGAGGGTAGAAATAGACAAAGAGGGAGAGAAAAAGAGAGAGGAAGAGAGAAAGACACCAGGAGTTTGAGACAAAGAGAAACAGACAGAGAGAAGACAAAGGATGATTATACACATTCATAGAGACACAGGTGTTTGTACATAAGTTGATAAAAGGCTAGTCTAACCAGAAGGATTGCTTCAATGGTTTCAGGAAGACGTGTTGAAAGCACTCACTGTGCCTCTCCCTTATATCCCTCAGAGTCTGGTTGCTACGGATACAGTCGCCGGGGCAACTATGAAGAGTATTCAATATCTGATAGCTAATACAATAGTTAAGGATAAGAATCTATCACATTTTTCTGACATTTTCTAATTGTTCTATGTACCAATCACAGAATCAGTTTATTTTATGAAGGATACAAGCCGATCATATCTCTTCTTGCTGCTACAAACTCCATTACTGATGTAAGGAGCTCGGCCAGTTTCCTTTCCCAAGAGAAGTCCGTTCCTCCTCTTCTGTGATGATAAACCTCGTGAACCTTCTTGAATTCATGAAGGAGGCCATCGTATACTACTGACAGTTGCTACAAAATAAGTAATGAGTCCCTCTTTAACTAAAAGCTGTTACACATGTAAAGTTGTACCTTTTTAAAAAATGAGCGACCATTAAATTGCATTGAAAAATAGCTGGTTTCAGCTGTAGAGAGTCGAGAGAGAAGGTTCATAAAATCACACCAGGTGACCCCACCCCCTCCGGCACTCTTAATGTCTCGCTCTCGTTCCTATAACAATAGTCATGTGATAGCCATGTGATGGTCATGTGATAGCCATGTGATGGTTGTGTGATAGTCATGTGATGGTCATACATGTCACAGTCATGTTATGAGATAGTCATGTTATGGTCATGTGACAGTCATGTGATTATTTTCTCACTAACACATTGGTCTTTTGCACGATCAAAGTTGAAGCACGAGAGCATCACGAAGTAGGTCTCAAGGACATTCTCTTCTGGAGTCCCAACGCAAACATATTCTGAATTTTGGAGAAAACCTAAAATTAGTTATACATACTCAAATGCTCAAGTATAATCACAATCTTTGAAGTATCATGGTATCATGGTATCTAAGGATTTAGTCAAAAGCCAACTCAAAAATTTTACTACTTTTTCTGATACATGTTGATGTATACTTATGCTGTGTAGAAAGTTTGAGCTGATTCCGACTTCAATTTTTTAAGTTACGGCCATTTTAAGAAAATGCCGAAAATCTGAAAAATACCCAAGGCTATAGCCCATGGTTTTTTCAAAAAAATGGCTCCGAAATCACCCCAAATTTTTATTACATTTTCTGATACATATTGATGTCCTTATGCTGTGTAGAAAGTTTGAGCTGATTCCGACTTCAATTTTTAAAGTTACGGCCATTTTAAGAAAATGCCGAAAATCTGAAAAATACCCAAGGCTATAGCCCATGGTTTTTTCAAAAAAATGGCTCCGAAATCACCCCAAATTTTTATTACATTTTCTGATACATATTGATGTCCTTATGCTGTGTAGAAAGTTTGAGCGGATTCCGACTTCAATTTTTCAAGTTACGGCCATTTTAAGATAATGTTAAAAATCTGAAAAATACCCAAGGCTATAGCCCATGGTTTTTCCCGAAAATGGCTCCGAAATCACCCCCAATTTTTTGCCACTTTTTTCTGATACATATTGATGTCCTTAAGTTGTGTAGAAATGATTCTGACAAATACTTTTCGAGTTATTTGTCTTTGTTAATGTCCATGTAGACGGATTAAGAGTACATAATAAGTACATGCAGACTCCTTCTCTTCCATCAGTCTCTCTCTCCCTCGCTAACCTTGAGCCATAATAGCTGTACAACGAAACTTTTCCCTGTCTTCTACTACATGTACATATACATTGTGTACCTGTATTTGTTTTATTATTAACCCTCTATCAACTCTTCTGAATTTCTACAAAATGGCATTCCCTCCTAGGTCCCAACAGGGAGGCATTCTAGTCCCTCACCAGCAGTACGCTGGAGGACAGGGACTCATACCGCTCCCTCCACAACAACATGGACTCGCTACAGCCTTAATGCCAACAGTACTATTTAATCATTTATTTATTTATTATTATTTATTTATATTTTGAGATTTTATTAATTTTCTTATTGCCTTCACTCCCTCTTTATTACGTCAGGGGCCACCAAGAACCACGTCTCTACAAGCTCCGATAATGAGACTCTTAGGCCATCAAGTATGGGTGTGGTTTAAATAAATAAAATACTTATTATTAATTGCTATTAGGGCGAAGTGTATACTTCTAAATTTAGCCCAACTGGGAGCACCTTGGCCTCGGGATCCTTCGAAAGACTAATATGTGAGCTGTTTATGATAATAATTAATAATAGCAGCAATAATAATGACAACAATAATAAAATAGTAATAATAGTAAAATGATAATAAAAATATTTGGGATATTTTTGTAAATTTTTAGTTTTATGGAATGTCTACGGAGACTGTGAGAATTATTGTGTATTAAAAGGACACCAGGGAGCCATCATGGACCTCAATTATTCAACTGATGGAACGTACGTATCTCAAATTAATTAGTGATACTTTATGAATTAATTTTTTTTAAATCGAATTTTGATTGGAATCACCCCAAACTTTCTACATACACATAAGTACATGTATATGTATTTAAAATGCTTATAAAAATGGAGAATTCTCTCCTTTTCATTTTTGATGAAATTTGACTGATGACCCTGTACTATAATACAGGGACTTTGATGTAATTATATCTTTTCTCCTGTCTCCTCTCTCTCTCTCTCTCAGTATGCTATTTTCAGTGGCTACTGATAAGTTGGGTGCTGTATGGGACGTAGAGGTTGGTGCCAGGGTCAAGAAACTTAAAGGACACTCCTCATTCGTTAATAGCGTGTCCTCCTCTCAGAGGGGGTCTCAGATTATTGCCACTGGGTCTGATGATGGAACGGCTAGAGTAAATTGTCCAAAAATTGATAAAAATAACTTATTATTATGTTATGTCTTTAAGGTTTGGGATTTACGAAGTCGTTTTGCCTCGCAAAACCTCAACAACACGTATCAGATCACGTCCGTATTGTTCAACTCTACAAGCGACCAATTGATTACCGGTGGCCTTGACAACGACGTTAAAGTATCCATGAACTAATACTTGGGTGTGGTTACATAAGAGGTGTGGTTTTTAGGTTTGGGATCTCCGTAATGAAGAAGTATTGTATACTCTAGCTGGTCATAATGATACCATTACTAGCCTCAGCTTAAGTGCTAATGGACACTACATAGCATCGAATGGAATGGATAACACTGGTAATGTTGTACAAATGGTCACTTGTTTTTTTTGAGGGCATAAAAAATGTAATTTGCAAAAGTTTTTGTGAAGAAATCTTTGTAGCGACTTGAAACTTATTATCAAAAAATAAATTTGTGACTTGCTTTTAACCTGCTTTATGAAATTTTGTGGTCTATTTCATACATTTTCTCTACCTCACCATTTTATATCTTAATTGCTACACAAGAAGACATACTCTCTCCCTCTCCTTCCTTCCTGTCTCTTTCATGAAAGCATATGATCAATATGTTCCTCCGTTGTTGTTGTTATAATTATTATTTTATTGAATTTATCACTACAGTGAGAATATGGGACGTGAGACCTTTTACTCAAGATCAAA